AACGCGACCCATATGAAAATACTATTGACTATGACAACAATGGGAACCCGACAGGTACTCACATTCGTGTTCGTAAAAATAGAAGAAAGTATACAAGAGAATATTATGAAGTTTTAGGCAAACATGGCAAAATGTACACACTGCAAGCAGAAGATAAAACTACTATTGCCAGACCTCGTTTCAAACTTGTCAAAGTTCAAGGTGGTATACTTTCAAAGACAGTTCCTAACAAATATAAGACAACTCCTGACGAATATGCTAAAGAAGTTGAAAATGACGACTAAGCAATTCTATACCATGCGTAAACTGTCATGTAAGGTGGCATGTATTCTTTACTTTGTCCCGTTGTTTGCGTATATCCTGAAACGAAATGTGTATGGTTTCCTTCTCCCTGAGTGTCACTCCAGTAACAATTTATAGCAAACTTAACGTCGTCTTTAACATCATATCCTTTACCTTTTGTCATTCCTGACCAATCCCAATATCTATGCTTATGCCAACCTGCTTGAGATGTACTTAAATCTATGTAGTGACTGTGTGCAGGTAAATTTTCACCTGAAATCGTTTTACTTCCACCTGTTTCCTTTGAAGAGTTTGCACAATACAAAAACCTGTCGACTATTTGTTCCCATGCACCAACACCAAACATTACTTGAGGACCTCTTGCTTCCATAGATGTATAAATAGAACCTACTGGGTTCATTAAATCAAACATATGAGATATTATAGGATTGTCTCTTTTGAACTTAAAATATAGTGCAACTATTTCAGGTTTCTTCTGGTTTGTGTCAGAATATTTTTTATAATATAATCTTATGTTTTCAGGGTAGGTAAAATCTTGACTATAATATTTATTTCTGTCATCTGTATAATAATATACTATTCTCGTTTTTTCTATTGCATTATATCTTTTATATCTATAATAATCTAAATATAATGTTAGCTTTTGTTCATCTACATGTGGTGTTCTGTCGTCATCTCCATAGTCATAATAATGTGGTGCTGGAGCTGGGTCAGGCAATGTCATATCTGCCATTTCATAAACTCTTAAATATTTCTTTTGTTCGTCTCCATATAAGTTTAAGTAGCAGTTGTTGCCTAATGGAACTTTAACTTGTGTACCATCATTCTTTTTATAGCTTACATACATTTCATTGTTATTTTTCGGAATGAGTTTACACCGTGTACCATTTTTTAAGGACTGTACCAACTGCCATCTAAAATATTTATTTTCTTCATTGACAGAAAAGTCACCAACAATAGTTTCAATATTTTTTTTGTTCCTATCAAACTTTGGTATATTTCATTGACATATGTTTTATCTGCTTTATTTTCAAGGCTAACGTTTAAGTTTGTAATATTTGCAATGGTATGTGTATGTCCAACGTCACTTTTCCTGTTTAAGGTTTCTTGTAAGTTTGTAATATTTGCAATAGTATGTGTATGTCCAACGTCACTTTTCCTGTTTAAGGTTTCTTGTAAGTTTGTAATATTTGCAATAGTATGTGTATGTCCAACGTCACTTTTCCTGTTTAAGGTTTCTTGTAAGTTTGTAATATTTGCAATAGTATGTGTATGTCCAACGTCACTTTTCCTGTTTAAGGTTTCTTGTAAGTTTGTAATATCAGATATAGAATGTGTATGAGTCTTATCTGCTTTTGTCTCTAATGCTTCCTTAAGACTTGGTATTTGGTTAATATAATGTATATGAGTCTTTTTAGAATATTCGTTTTCAGCTCTTGTCACTTCACTTGACATTTTATTGTCAACATATGTTTTGTCTGCTAGTTCAGGATGAGTATGTTCTTTTGTTGCATAAGCATTGTTAGCTCTTTCTTCTTCTTTTGCTATTGCATCGTCTACATATTCTTTGTCAGCTTTGTTGCCAACATCTGCTTTCAAAAGAAGTTCATTTATAGGTTTCTCGTTTAAAGTTCCTTTTGTTGGATTTATACAGACAGTATTGTTCTTATTGTCTTGAAATAGAAACTCATCTGTCATTGGATTTATTGTCAGTTTTAAGTCACCCCCTTTCAATGACTCAGATATCTTAGAATAGTTTGAAAAGTTTGTTGTGTTCTTATTTAGAGCTTGCATAATGAGTTGTCGGTTGTGTTGTATTTCTCTCATAGACGCTGTTTCATTTGACATTTTTATTCTAGATAAAATATGCTTTCAATAGAAAAAGAAAATTCTAGAGTTGCTACAACTAAACCATTAGATGAACTTTTTACTAATGTCGGTCAAAAGTTTGAGACAGAGACCGTAAAGCATGAAGGCTATCGTTTTGACTACCCGTTAAGATGGTTAAGAGACCCATCCGTCACAAAAGCTATTGGCTTTCGTAGAATGAAGTTCATTTCAGAAGCCATACATGGTTTCCCATTTACGGTCGGTTTTGAAGTTCGATACTATAACAAAGAAAAACGTATGTATGAGAAATTTGAACAGGGAAAATTTTTACAAGTTAGTTTGCTTATAAACTTAGAAACAACTCTTCAAGCTTTTCAAGAAAAAATAAACGATATCTATATTGAATATGCAAACCAGTATAACATTGACGAAGGAGAATACCATCTCGATATTATTTATGACAGGAAAAATGCAACTGTTAAAATCAATAAAATAGAAGACCTTGGAGAAAACGTTTATATTTCTACAAAATATAACAACTTGGCATGGTATAGATTTATGAGGATGTTAAATCAGCCTGCTGCATATCCAGTACACCCGGACTATTATGAAGTCGAAAACCCTAATGGAACATATGAAAATATTTTCGACCCAGATGCTATTATTGTTCATGCTTCATTTTCTGGCGCCCAAAACTCTTTTTTATGCTTGGCAAATGACTTTTACGAAAAACCTACAAAGTTATACGAACCACCAAGTGGAAGTATTTCAGACTTTCAAGTATGGTTTACTACAGATGGAAGAAAAAGAATAATTCCATTATACCATGCGTTTTACTTAGAACTTAGTTTCATATACAACTACTATCGAACGGTAAAAATATAATTTTTTAATACGGTTGAGGTGTTGGATTTGGTTGCCAACTAGACTGTGGTGCAGGTTCAGGCTGTTGTATAACAGGAGCTTGTTCTTCTGGTTCAGGGTCTTTAGGTATAATACCAACAAACTGACCTACTCTTTTACCAATATTTTTGACTCCGTTCCAAATTCCTTTTCCGACAGATTTTATTCCATTCCATATACCTCTTCCAACTCTTCTGAAGAAGTTTCCAATACTACTGAAGAAACCCATTTTACTAGTAGTAAAAATCTAATGTCCGCCTAGTCTCTTACGTTTCCTGTTGAGTTCCATAGCATTCTTTAACTGGAGCTCATACATTCTGTTTCTCCTCTGGTAGAAAACATATTCTGGGTCAACTCCTGTGTTCGCGTCATCTGCATAAAGTTGTTTATATCCCACTTCAGGGTTTGTATAAAACTCTTTCCATCTCATATTTGCATACCATGGTGGCAAACCTAACGCAGCGTCATTTGACATGGCAGTTTGCATTTGTACATCTGTTGGCACTTGACCATAGTTTGCCATTGCAGTTTGTATTCTAACTTCATTTGGAATATTCTCTGGGTTTGGTTGTCCAGGTTGCTGTGCATTCGCTAAGTTCTGTGCGTCCATTTAATATTAGATAAAAATATCTCTTACGAGTACATATACTGAACATTTGCAGGCATTGGTTCATCTTCATATTCTCTGTACTTTTCTGCCACGTCAAATAAATAAATGACACAATGGAAAAAACCTAAAACAAGTAGTCCTATTTCAAACCACATTTACTTACTAATAAAATTTCTTTGTTATGACACTTTCTCCGGTTTATAGGACCTCTCTCATATTCTATCTTGTCATATATAAACTCATAGTCATGTATGTCCTCTAACCATCTCATAACGGTTTCCAAACCACTTTTATCGGATGTAAAGTAAAAGCATGGATGGTTATGTATAACGTCTAAAGTTTCTAAAGAGTCTCTCAAAGTCCAGTCTACTTGGTATTGAAAATCCCATGTGTTATAGAACGGCGGGTCCACTATAAAGAAAACATTTTCCTTGTCTTTATATTTTTCATACAACTCTGTCCAATGACATCTCACAAACTCTATACCCTCAATATATTTTTCTATGTCCTCTTTGAAAACATTTGTATAGTTAAGATATAAAACTTTTGACATAAGTGTTTCAATGTCATGAACTCTTATAGCACCACTATATAATAGTCTAGCAGATATACTATCCCAGTCTATATATTCTGCTTTTTTCAAAACCTCTCTCACAATATTTTTCTTATCTAATGGTATACGTTCCATCTTACCTATAGGTATCTTTTCTTTTAACTCTTTCAATATATTGTTTGTGTCTGGAATATGTTTGAGACGGTTCATATAGTTGTCGAAGTCATTGCATATAATCTTTGAGTCTGGGAATATTGTATGACATAAATGGGATATATAGAAACTTCCACCGAACAAATCTACAAATGTTAGACCATTCGGTAGTTTCTTAAGTTCTCTCAATATAATATCTTTACATCTACTCTTATTTCCAAAGAACGGTAACGGCGGTTTTGTAAAATTCATTTATATATAATAATAAAAATGTTTTTACCCGAAAAGTGATAGAAAAGTGACAAAATATGAAAACATATATAATTTGTGAAAAGTGAAACAAAAAGTGACATTTAAAAAGTGACACTATTAATATGATGTAAATAACAACGGTTTTGGTTTTGTCACCGGCTGGTCGGCTGGGGTTCGGTCCTCCTCTTGGGTCTTGGGAAAAATTTCTTATGGGCTAGAGGGCGCAACGCGCCTGGAAGCCCCACTTACCTGACCTAATTATTAATCACAAATAAATGTAAAAAAAAAAAAAAAAAAAAAAAAAAAAAAAAAGGTAGTGGGGCTTCCAGGCACTTCGTGCCCTCTAGCCCGAAGATGTTTAGATTAAAATAAAATTTTTATTCTGAAATGTTTGCTTTAATGTTTTTTATGGATGGAAATGAACTGGATATCGTCTGAGTCTTCGCTTGTTTCCTCCTCTTCTTCTTCTTCGTCCGAATTGTCTTCATCTTCACAATAACCAGATAAGAAGATGGTTATTTTGGTTTGTTCTGGTTTTTTGAGAAGCATTTTGGCTGTGCCAGTAAAAACGAACTCAAGATTTTGATAGAATTGTCTGCTTGAGTGAGTGAATTTGCATACTGTAAGTGGCATTGCAACTCGGTTTGCTTGAACAGATATTATTGAAACTTCTTCTCCATCTGGTATCCGTTCAATAATATCTAAAGCGGCTGTTGTTATAATATGCATATTGTTTTCGTAATGCAATTTTGGATATATTTCGAATGGATGTGCAGCTACACCAGCTGGAGCAACAATGGAAAGATTCCAGGAGAAAGAACCGTGTTTGTTTTCATCTTCTTTCCAATTGTAAGTTAAAGGATAAGGACGAAAGTCTTTGAGTGTTTCATATAACTGTTCTCTTAAGTTTGGTTCACAGCAAAGAATGAATTCGTCAATTGCTTGAAGAGATATCATAGTTGAAACATAAGGCAAATTCGACAAGAAAAAGTCAACCATTACTGTCGGGTTTTGAACTTTGTTTTCTAATGTTTCGACTGGTTTTATTATACTTTTGAAATATCTATCATAGTCATTGTTGTCTGTTAAGGACAAATTGTTTGGATAATCTGCAATGAGTCTTCTATATCTTGCTTCTGTTGTTGAGAATGAGAAGACACCTTCTGGTTCTGTAGGAGTGTAAGTTTTTGGTTGAATTTGAGCTTCAATTTGTGTCTGATTGGAGTCTGATTGGACTGAAACAACTTGAGCTTCTGTAGTTTGTTCGACTTCGGCAGTTTCTTTTGGTTGAATTTGAGCTTCAATTTGTGTCTGATTGGAGTCTGATTGGACTGAAACAACTTGAGCTTCTGTAGTTTGTTCGACTTCGGCAGTTTCTTTTGGTTGAATTTGAGCTTCAATTTGTGTCTGATTGGAGTCTGATTGGACTGAAACCTGTGTAACCTCTTTGGACATACTAGTAAAGTATGAAGATATAAGTGTTTGACCTTTAAAGAGCTTTTGTAAAGAATTGTCAGTCATGCTACTACTGTGGTCTTCCATTAGATAAAAATGAACTGTTTTTTTCGGACTACTCATAGAAAAGTTTAAAATAAACCGTTTTCGTCAACGGAGACCCCCTCTATTTTTTTATTTTATTTAATAGTTACCGTTGGCAAACCGTTCCATCTCAAATATTGAATGAACTATAAACGTTTTTTGTTTTCTATATATACTTTTTTGTCCAACGGTAAAACTTTTTACACAACGGTTTTTGAGAGTCGTCGCCGTTGACTTTTTTGTAGAGCACTCAAAATAGTATAACTTTGTCCGGACAAGTAAGGGTCTATCGTCGCTACAGGAAAAGTTACGGGCGTTCCAAGGAAGTATACTTTGAGAAGCCTTTTCCCCTTATAGAATGAGATAGGACGGTTATTTTACAAAACCGACAACACTTTGACTGAGTAGTTTTTTGTGCTGAACAAAAAGTGTCATATAAACATCTGTCAAAAACCGCTTTTTAACTTCACTTAAAATGCCACGTAAGCTACGTAAGAATATACGTAAGAGGAAGAGAGCATTGAAACATCCAATAGTAAAACTGACACCACAACAACAGTTGCAACAACAAATGCTGAATGACCCCACTATGTTGCAACAAATGTCAAGCAATCCTATGCTTTTAAACCGAGTTGTTGGTGCACAGAGTGGAGGTTTAAGAGCGGCACTTTTAGCGAAAATGGCAGGCTATGGTGGAGCTGCAGACGGAACAGCCTATAACCCTCAAAGTCAAATGAATTTGAGTTCACTCAAAAATCAAATAACAGATGTCAAAAAGTCAAACATAGACATACAGAAGCAAATAAGTGAAAACGAAAAGAAACTAGAATATGACAGACACACAAAGAAACTCAATGAGTTAAACGTAGAGAAAAAGAAGAAAGAAGAACAACTGAAAGAACTAAGTACAGAGGAATATGCGAAAAAAGTGTCAGAAAAAGCAGCAGAAGTAGCAAAAATGGAACAAGATGTCATAAATTTGAAAAACCATACTACTCAATATAAATACTGAAAGATGAAGAGATAAAACAAAAAGCCCTGAAGACATATATGGATAGCGATGAGTATAAAAAAGAAGTTGAAGCAAATGTAAAGGCAGAAAAACTTTTACAGTTGCAAAACCAAACCGTACAGTATGAAAACTTAGCACAAGAAAGTAAAAATAACGACGCAGCCATGCAAAAGGCAATGAAAAGCGCAGAATATATAAAAGCTAACAATGACTGGTTAGATGCCCAAGCCAACGCTAAAGCAGCCCAACTTATAGGGTCAATAAGGACAAAAATACAAGCGGATGAAGACAGTTCAAATGAAGCTTTAAATGCTGACTTTAAGAACGCCTTCGAAGCTCTTCATAGTAAGGTGAAACAAGTGAACGACTTCTCATCTGGAAAGAAACTGAAGTCTGAAGGTTTCGACAAAGAGTTAAAAGAAGTAGCACAAAATATGACGAAAATAACAGATGCAGCAACGAGACAGGCAGTTCAAAGTGCCTATGACGCCGTTAGAGCAACTGTTGTGGAAAGTCAAGAAAAAGAGTTACAACAGACCAAAACAGACCTAGTAAATGCTTTCTTAAAAACGAAAAGTCAGGTAGGACATTACGCTGCAGATGGAACATATGTGCCAGCTGGTGGAACTTATATACCACCAAACCCTCCAAGAGAAGCACCTGCACCAGGACTACCTAGAACATTTACATCGTCACATGGACACAGACACAGGCATGCACAAACAACCACCTCCACAACCAGCACAACAACCAACACAACAACCAGCACAGCAACCAACAGTTCAAAACCCTGCACAACAACAACCACAAACAGAGCAAGGACATAAAAGAAGTAGAGAACAAGGAAACCAAGAATTCTTAAAAATGCTTAAAGAAGAGTGTGGTTTCCCAGATACTGTTGACTTTAGTGACAGATATAAAGAAGCTATTAGAAAGTTCAAGGATGGAAATACTGACCCGAACCTATTTAGCTTTATGGCTCAGCACCAAAACGGATATAATCTCAAACCTGGAAAATACAAGCTCGCTAAGGGATATGATTTAATAGCATATCATCCAAATGACATGGATGAATTTACTCCGAGATATTTGATGTCAGAGCTAAATGACAATTCAACTTTCGTCATGAAACGCGTAAAAAATAGAGACGGAACGAAAGAACAAAAGCTTATGAATGCGGATGACGTAGATAGGGAAATTGTTGAAAACGGTCTCGGAATATATGAAATGCCAGCAGATGAGGTACAAGAAACTCCACAGGAAGAAGTTCAGATACAACCAGACATGGAAGAAATAGTTCAGCAACAACAGCTAGAAGAGCCTGAAGGAAACGAACAAGTCCTCCTTTGGAAACTAACTTCACAGAACTAGATGAAGATTTGGAACAGCCGAAAAATCTTGACCCTCAACAAGAGTATGCGGAGAATATGGAATATTTCCAAGAGTCTAAAAAAAATTCGGCTGACATAGTAGAAGAATATCGAAAAAATGTTTGCCGACATACAAAAGACTCCAACACCAGATGAAAATATCCAGCATAGAATGGAAGAACTGAAAAAAAATGTACACAAATACAACAACCCTTTTACTTACGAGCATTTAACGTTCAATCTTCGGATGAACTCGGTGAAATAAAAGGTTAAATTTCAAGAAAACATATAGAAATGAAACATTGTTTAAAGTTCATTCAGAACCTAACCAAGATGGAAACAAACCTACTTTTGTTTCTGCAGACGATGGAACTACAATGAGATGGGGTCATAAAGCTAACCCGGATAGGTGGTTCATAAACTTACAACCACAATTCCAAGAGTTGTAGACGCAATGGAAGTCAATGGTGAACCAGATATAGCTGGTATTTTAAGCGCGGCTTTAATGCCATTGAAAGATATGAAACATGCAGATATTTTGGACCAGTAATGAAATGAACATGGCTGATGGAAATATAACACCTGACGTTCTAGAACATTTATCTCAAAGAACTACACAGAACCATAGAGATGGTATATTTGGTGAAGAGTTTAGAAAGACAGTTAGGGAGAGAGAAGGAAGAGAACCTATTGTACATGACCTTGCAAATGAAAGTTTGCAAAATGTCATAAAAACTTACTTTGCAGACAATGAACTGAGAAGGGATGAATATTTAAGAAAACTCAAATGACAGTACCAAATGAAATGTTAGTATTGAAAAACATGTTCCTTGACAAAATAAAACCAACTACAGAAATAAACGACGCAAGACTGAAAGATTGGGTAAAAGCTTTCCCATTCACAAAAGATATAGTTTGGTAACATGGAAAGAAAACCAGAATGGCTACAAAAACATATATTTGGAAACGAGCATATTCCATATGGACAGGCACTGTTTGAAGAGCTTGAACCGGAAACTCAGGAAAGAGTCATGCAAACAATACGCGAAGACTCAAATACAAACTATGACAAAATCTTTCTAGGATATAGGTTACCTGAGTGGGCGACCAGAGCCAAAGGCAAAAAGGACATGGGAAATTTACAACATACTAGATGAACATGAGGCAAAGATGCAACAACTTCAAGCAGAGGGCAATGAAGGAAAAAGAAGAGTTAAAAACTCAGTCAGGAAGAAAGTAAAGCTTGGTCGGAGTGGGTTCTATTATGACATATAAATCCAACTATTCTATATTTTTACTCATATGAAATGTACGCCGCTCAGAATATAACGCCAAACAGTTTTGGATGCTATGAATGGAAATGTTTCCGAATGGTATAACGAATGCGACAATGCCATTAGAAGGTCAGAAATAGTTCCTGGAACTTACGAATATACAACTGCTGTTTCTTATGGAAACGTAGGTGAGTTTGGAGAAGGTTCTTCAACAACAGTAGATATTGCTTGCGACAGGTTTCATATAATTTCTATTGACAACTCTTTCTTATACGTGGAACAAGACATTGAAATAAAAACCTTCTGCCAAGTTGTCTGACAAGAAAGGTTGCAATGGAATTTTCTATGTCGGATACCAATATGCTCCAGAAGTTTTCATGGGATATAAGATATATTCTAACTCTGACTTAGTTCAAACAGTAACATGGGCAAACTATGAATGGTTCGCTTTGAGAAACTCAGTACAACCACAAGCTAGAGAACAAACAGACCAGTATGCAACTATTGAGAAAATAAGAAGACTTGACCCTAACGTTCCAGGAGTTTATGTTAACCTTTCTGGACAAACTGCAGCAGCAGTAACCAAAGTAAAACTGAAACTTAGAGTTCCTTTGTCATCTTTCCTCATCTTCAGGTTTTTAAGATACTTGCCAAACTGGGCAGGAAAAATTTCTATTGAACTTACTCCAAGCAAAAATAACTTAGTCATTGCACCAACACAAGACCCATTCACTCTTACAGAAGTAGTGGGAACAAATAAAATGTCATTCGCCGACTTTTGCAAAAAAAGTTGACTTAGACTTTGGTTTCTCAAACCTCAACACTGAAGTAAACTATTATTTCAATGCTGCTGGAGATGCTTGGGACCCAGTTAAGTTCACATGCGAAAAATTTGAATGCAAGAGAATAGAAAGCAGACTTGCAGTCTATATGTTGGACCCAGATATTTCAAATGCTTTAGCTGCCAAATATATTGCAGTTCCACTTATGTTCCCTATACACCAAATATCTGTCAAAGACTTTGCAGGTGAAGTTGGAAACCAAAGTGCTGACCCAGGTGCAAGAACAGATATTGCTTTAACAACTGCAATGAAACATGCAGATACTATGTTTGTACTGTTCAGACGAACTATAAATGACTATTCTTGTTTCTACAACCCTGGTATTAAATATCATATAAACATAGATGGCAAATACTATCCAAGAGAAGAATATTCTACAGTTGAGGATATGAGGTCATACAACTTGACATTAGATGCTATGAACTTTAACAACAACTTCACAACAACCATTAACCCTGAAATGCAAAGTTCTATTATGCCATATGTGAAAGTATGGACTCATACAGGAGGTCAAAAAACTCAATACAAATGGAGACCGTTCAAACTTTTGGCTTGGCATTCCATTTGCTGACTCAGAAGACTTTATGGGTGGTATTTCAACTGTTGGTACAGTTCAAATACAATATACTGGTGACAGAGACGGTCCAGATGAACTGAGAGCAAAGAAGTTTACAAAACCAATAGCACTTTTCACGGAAGATGCTCTTTTGAAGATTCGTTCGATGAAACCTGCTGGGGCTCCTCAGATTGGCATAACGACAGCTTCCATCGAGCAGATTTTGGCAGCAGGTCAGTAAGTTGTTCTTGAACTGACTTCTCTCCGTCAAATATTGACAGTACGCCAGTTTTGACATAAATTGTATTATAAACTTACCTTTAGAAATATCTGTCAGTTTTGTTTATATTTTTGTCTGCTTCAAGAACTTTCACCATCTCGGTTATACCAACTTTCTTTGCTTTATGAAAATATTTTGGTTCAGCAAATGCTATTCTATAACATTTTCCATTGTTTGTGTAAAGAACTACTCTGTCAATGAACTTGTATTGTTTGTGTGTGTAAACTTTGTTCTGCTTCAATTCGAAGAGATACTCGAATACGTCCATCTTTTTATTCTAAGTAAAATGTCATTTCCGAAAAATAGAAGCGTAAGTGTTTCAAAAGGTTTAATGGCGGTGGCAGATTGAAGTTAAATTCACCAACTCAAACAAACAGTCAAAGTGTTGTTGTCAATGTCAAAGAAAGAGATGTTGAAGTGGGGAAACCATACGAGGACGAAGATGGTATAACAATAGTTCCTGTAAAAGAACAACCAACATACCCTGAAGTTAGCAGAGAGTTAAGTTCTGTTGCAGATATTCGAAACGACTACCAACAACTTAAAGACAAACTTAAAACTCAGGAGAAGATTTGTCAAGCTTTAGGTATAATGTTAAACTTGGTCGAACACAACCCTGTAAAAGTGAACTCATATGTCATTGCACCTCATGAAGTTTTGAAAGAACTATTGAAACTTTTGACAGAGGCAGACGATATAAACATCAAAGAAATAGAACCCGACATTGCTTGCTGTGGTGTTTCATATAATGTCATTGACAAGATATACGTTATGAAAGGAGGTGAAACGTTGAACTTAAAATATAGTTTCCCAGACGTCATAAAAATATTTGACGACCACAACATTTCATTAAAATTTAGTTTGCTAAGTAAATGGCAGAAGACATAGTGGTTTATACTATTACGACTAAAAACCCTGAGTCATATAATTCTATAACAACAAACTTACAAAGTCCTCAAGGACGATATTGTAAACTGACCTTAAACACAATGACGACTAAAGCCTGTTTTGCTCTTTTGACACCAGAAGACTTTATTGTTGTGAATGGTAAAAAATACTCCTTTGAAGATACTTACTCAGATATACCACCAACAGGTTTTGTTGACTTATTTAATACTTTAAGGACGGATGTAACATGTGCTGCAACTAGAGCAGGTTTCATTATGTTTGGATGTCCGACTGAGTTTACTATAAACGATATGAGCTATAATACAAAACTTATTTCTGGTTTTTACTACAACAGTTTCCTATAACAGGAAAAGGTGTCATACAAGGAATGTCTATTCCATTGACATTAAGCACACCAATCTTATATATTGTTTCAAACTTAGGTTCAAAGTGTTATTCGAATGTCGACAGAAACTATTATGACCAAAAGATACTTATGCGTATAAACAATACTTTCTCTGCTGGTTTGCCTATTGTTCATTCGAATGCAGAATTTTCAACCTTAGTGAACTCAAACACTTTGGCAAACATAAACTTAACCTTAGTTGACGCAAACTTTGTTCCTGTAAAACTTTTATGTCCTATGTATTTGTCAATGACGGCAGAAAGTTTCGAATTGGAAGATGCAACTGGTGAAGTATTGTATTACACAGAACAACTTCAACAACAAATAGCTCAAGAACAACAAATGCAACAAATGCAACAACAAAGTCAAGAATAAAAAAAATATTTTTTTTATTTTTATAAAAATGTACAGAATAGATGTTTCAGATTTTTATGACTTCCAAGCATTCAGAAATATGTGTCCATTTCGAGACTATAACAAAGCAGTCGAGAATTTGAAACGTTTAGTCATTTATGTCGACTCTGCCCCAGAATGTTATGTTATGAAAGAATGGGATGTAGTCTTTAACAAACCAAGAGCGACAATAGTTTCAGAACAAGAATGTAAACAGAAACTTAAGAAAATAAAAGTCGTACAAGTTGGTATGAAGATGTTAGATGCTTGGGATATCTTATTGTCAAAGTTAGAAGATTTTTCAGTTCGTGGTATAAAGTTTTATACACCATCTCCAAACTTCTATTCTATCTTCACTGGATATAAATACGAACAAGTAGAATGGAAAGAAAATGTTATAGAAGCTTGGTTAGACCATGTCAAAGAAATTATATGCAATGGAAACGAAAGAGTCTATGAGTATATCTTATGTTGGTTTGCAAACATCTTACAACATCCAAGTGCTAAAAATGAAACTGCTCTCATTATAATTGGAAAACAAGGAACTGGTAAGAACACATTCTTTACAGATATCTTATGCAAACTGTTAGAGGGCTATTCGAACCCGAATATGACAAACATAGAAAACATCTGCGGTAAATTTAACTCTTCAATAGAGAATATGAAACTTATAGTATGTAACGAACTTCAAAGTATAGATACAACAAAAGTTTTAAACTCAGATGCTTTGAAGAGTCTTATAACAGACAAAGTTGGAGTTGTTGAAAGAAAATATAAAGACCAAAGAGTTTGTGAAAATGTTGCAAACTTCGTCATGGTTTCAAACAATGTTGTTCCGATGAAGTTAGAAAGTTCTGACAGAAGATATGTAGTTGTCAGAACGTCAGATTCTCATATGCAAGATACAGAATATTTTGACGCTTTGTCAGAAACTTTGACATCTGACTTTTACAACCACTTGTTCTCATATTTCATGACATTAGATATTTCAAAGTTCAATCCAAGACAAATTCCACATACCGAAGAAAGACAAACATTGTTAGAAGCAAACAAGAGTGTTTATGAACTGTTTATAGATGAGACTAACTTTGAGTGTTTAGATGAAAGGTCATTGTACGATGAATATAAACAATATTGCCAAGAGTATGGTTATATGACAGCGTCTAAACGAACATTCTTGGCAAATGTCAAAAATCTTTTAGATGTTCAGAACGGCGTATATACAAAGAAAATTTTTCTGAGTAAATTTTAAAAAAATATTTTTTTATTTTATTTGAAATGTACGCTGAGTTTGTTGGAGAAGACCGTTGGGAAACTTGTTTGTTAGATGAGAAATATGAAATTCACTGTTGTGAGTCATTTGAAGTCAGAAACAAGAGACAAAAAGAGTTTTAAGCGGATGGGAGGAAAAACGGATATGCTAGGATGAGTATGAGTGGAAAACACTATTTTAAACATGTTGTCATTGCAACTCATTTTATACCGAATCCTAACAATTTACCTTTTGTAGACCATATAAACCATATAAGAAACGACAATAGACTTGAGAACTTACGTTGGGTTACTCGTTCTGAAAACAATAAGAACAAAAGCAAATTTGGAGATATTGTATTCGAATTTGTCGACGAACTAGAAGATGAAGCAATTGAAATTACAGACTATGGCAAGCACACGTTTGAGTTTTACTACTATAGCGAAGAACAAGACTCTTTCTACTTTTATACCGGTGTAAACTATAGAAAATTACAAGTATGTTTTACTAAGGAAGACTATGCTTATGTAAACACTAGAGATACAGATGGAAAATACGTTCAAATACATCTTAACAAATTCAAGAAGCTATATGGCATACCATTTTAAAACGTTTTTAAAAAAAAATATTTTTTTTATCCGATAGAAAAGATGACGAAATATATTTCAGTCAACAAATATATGTCAGGACTTAAAGAAGAACTAGACCCATTCATATATTTGAATGTTTACTTCTACCATTTTGAAAAGTCTTCATTCAGCAAAGTTTGGAACATCGAACCAGTTAAGTTTGCTATTGTGACTAAAAATGGTGCGAAATTTGAAGACTTAGACATTGACGGTATGTTGACAGTCAAAGAAAATTTTGACAGAAAGTTCTCAAAACTCGAAGAAGGCAAAGCATACAAACTTGTTATACCTTATGAACCAAAGAAAGCAGACGACTATGAATATTATGAGTCTAAGATAGTTGAAGTTCAAGGTAAATTGGGTAAAAAGATTTTAGAGTCTAAACCAGTGTTTGCTCCTAAAGAGGAAGAGAACATTGACATTGACCCAGAAATGTTCTAAAAATAAAATTTTATTTTTACATGTCAAATTTCTTTTTCTCTGGTTCAGGTTCTTTCTTCTCTTCTACTTTTTTCTCTTTCTTTCCTTTCTTCTTCTTTTCTGGTGGAGTTATGTCAAATTTCTCAGAACCATATTTCTGTAAAAGTTCTTTGTCCTGTAATAGCTCATCTATTCTGTTTTCTATTTCATCTTCAAGAACAGCGCATGTGTCTTCTTTGCATTCTAAGAACTTTTGTTGGACTTCATCTTTCCAATCGGTGTCATCTCTGTCAACAAGTCTGTCATTGACAAATTTTAAGACTGCTCTTTGTAATGTTTTATGGTTCTTGTCATATTCCCAGAAACAGAACTTTAGAACAAATTCACCTTTCTTGTTTACACTATGTAAGATTTTATGGTCGACAGATGTTTTGCTGTCAAAAAGTTTGTCTCGAATATAGATAGCGAAATCGCTAGACATTTTCTAAAAGATAAAAATTTTAATTTTTCTAAAAATATGTTAGAAAAAAAGTTTGCTGACATTGACAAGAAATTTGAGAATGTTTTGAAGAAGAACAAGAGGAAGTTAGAAAATGCTCAGATAAAACCTATACATGACAAGTTCTTATTTGCTCAGAATGGTATAACAGGTCTAATCGCACCACCTGGGTCGGGTAAGACTTTCACTTATCTTAAAATGGCTGCACAACAACAAGAACTAGATGAGAAGAACCCATTTTATGAGTTAGTTGTCATTTGTAGTACTTCTGGTCAATTTGACCAAACCGTAAATTCGTTCAAAGATATTATAAAAAAGTCTAAGTTAGTATGTATAAAAGATACTGAGTTGTTAGATTGGATAAAGAAGTACCAAAGAAGAGTTTTGAAGTACAATGCTATAAATGAGTATATAAATTCGAAGTTTAAAGACCCTAATGAGGAAATGCAGAGAATATTAGAGAAGAAACACTTCAGAAACAAACAGAAAGAGATAGAATACATTTCGAAGAAATTGCAATCTTACGATTGGAAGACTTACCCTCACAGATGTCTTCTTATCTTAGATGACTTTGCTTCTCATCCTTTGTTAAAGAACAGAGAACAAGACATGTGTCGAATTCTTAAGAAGCTCAGACACTTTAACATCTCTGTTGTCATTTGTGTACAGACAGCCAAGAGTTTAAGTAAGGATGTAAAGAGAATACTTACTGACATTGTACTTTTCCCAGGATTGTCCGAAGACGATTTCATGGAACTTATGAAAGAGTCCATGGCAGGTAAGTTTGACAGACATGAACTATGGGAGAAGTACAAAGTCATACAAGACCCTCATACTTCTTTCAGAATTCATATCTACGCAAACAAAGTTCAAATTGTAAAAAGTCAAGCGTAAAAAATGTAAGTGTTTTGGCGACCAGGGTTTTTTCACTACTCGCTGTTCTTCACTGTTTTCATGAGTTTTGGCGACTGCGTTTTTTTCATTACTCGCTGTTCTTCACGATTTTCCGAGGGAAGCAAGCATATGAGGAAATTCATGAAATTTCATACGGAATTCAATAAAAATAATGTTTATGTTAGAATGTTAGATCTAACATGTTTTCTAACATGTTTTCTAACATGGTCTAAAACATACAAAACTCATGAAATTTCATACGGAATTCAATAAAAATAATGTTTATGTTAGAATGTTAGATCTAACATGTTTTCTAACATGTTTTCTAACATAACTATTTACAAGCGTTTTACATGGTATATGTTGCGATGGTTCATGACTCTAAACAATTTCGTAGCTTCTATTTCTTCTGTCAGTACATCGAATGTTTTAACAATGCCGAAGGTTTCTTTATATTTCTTCTTGACATCTGAAAGAAGGAAATCGTTAGCGGTTGGATAGTTTTTGTTCAGAAATTCTAACATGTTCATTTTATCTTCTGCTGGTTTTTGCTTCTTTCTTTAAATCTGCATAGTCGTTTCGCATACGTTCTATCTCTTTGACGGAGTAGTTATATTTCCTCATTGCTGCTTTACATTTTGAACATTGCGGGTTCATTTTTGCGTTATATTCTGAAACCTTACCTGCAAGTATGACCAAGGCGTCAATGGTTTTCTTCATCTCGAACATAGCGGGTTTTATTTGTTCGTTCCATACCTTACCCCTACTATCTTTATCTCTTATTTCCCAAACACATTTTGCAACTAACGAAACAAAGTTGTCGTAGGTCTTAAATTCTTCGGATTTGTAAAGGTCAGAGATGTTCTTATATACCATGTCGCAATCTTTGTCCATAACCTTATGGTTGCAATGAAAACCAAGGAATTCATAATTTACCTTTCGTATGAACTTCTTTATTTCTACTGAGTCGGTTGCTTTGACTTCTATTTCGTCAAATTCGGGAATGGTTAGTTTTTGTTGTTGGATTTCAGGCAATTTGGGTAAATGGTCAATAATGTCCTGCATTTCATAAAGATACTGTTCATTTGTTTCATCTTTCGCACTACAGTCTAAATTACTTGTTAAAAGTTCTTGCTTTATCTTCTGGATTTTTGTTTCGAAAGTATATGAAGAAGGAATGAAGCTTTTCATCTCTACTAACATAGATGTTGGATTCATAACTAGCGAGTTTGGTGCTGTAGTTGTTTGAATTGTTGTTGTGCCGATTGTTGAAATCATGTCTTTTATACAAAATAAAAAAAATAAATAAAATAAAAAATAAAACTAATTTTATTTTTTATTTCGGGAAAATTCATGAAAATTCAAGAGTTTTAGACCATGTTAGAAAACGTGTTAGAAAACATGTTAGATCTAACATTCTAACATAAATTATATTTTTGGTGTAAAATTCATGAAAATTCAAGAGTTTTAGACCATGTTAGAAAACGTGTTAGAAAACATGTTAGATCTAACATTCTAACATAAATTATATTTTTGCTGAATTCAGCAACAAAATTCAAATTGTAAAAAGTCAAGCTTGAAAAATGTAAGTGTTTAGTCTTAGTAAGATGGTAGCTTCTTAAAGCAAATACCATTGCTGAGTTTTATGTACGTGAAGAGAAGTACAATGAATTCAATTACGAGTACAATTGCAATGACAACTAAGGCAACTATTTTTGTCTTTTGCCAGCAAGGGTACTTCTTCTCTTCCAATGGTTCGGCAGAACTATACTCACTCATGAGAAATGCCAAAACGGTTTAATAGAAAAAGTGTTATTTTTTCATGTCCGAAGACTCGAAGGTGCAACACTTCCAAAATACCGACGAACTCAGAAGAGCAGCATGGCAGTATCTTCTTGACAACTTCTTTGAGTTCTCCAGGTACACCTTGGAAAAATGCTTGAAGAACTCCGACACAGAGAATTTGGAGAAATTGCACTCCAATACTACCTTGACAAACAAAGGGTAAACAAAGGGTAAACAAAGGGTAAAATAAGACTAAAAACTTAAGGTTTAAAAAAGTGACATTTTTATGAGCTCCGAGTCACCGAGAAAACTTGGTCAGATGTTAGCAGCTTACTTCCCTGAGGAGGATGGAAGCGTTACATACGTAAGGTTCAAAAACAACGAACCTGGAATTGCGTACCAAATTCGCAATTACATGACCATGGAAGAGTACGAAAGGTTCCTACAAGAGAAACCAGCTCTAAACAACTCAGAAAAGAAAGAATAAAAAGTTTAACTCGTAATTGTTTATTTTTTTACTTGTATGGGCAAGCTGCAAGAATGAAGTCGACTATCTCGGTCTTTGTCTTGACCAGTTGGACTGCTCTTGCGAGTACGTCTGTTTTGCGGTCTCCAGCTGGTGTCTGACCTTCGTAATTGCGCATGTTCTTGAGAGCTCCAACTGTAAATGGCTGTAGGATGAAGAGTCTCTCAGACTGCTTGAGGTAGTCTTCACGGTCACGAACCGAATCTGTGGTACGAGTCGAATCGGTCGATTTGAGGGAAGAGACTGAAAGCCTGTCGTCTTCCATTGGAGCTGTAGCATACTCTTTGCGTAAGCGGTTCAGACCTTCTTCGAACTCTTGGTCTCTCTTGGATTGAGATTGGAATTGGAATTGGGGTGGAGGGTTTGACATGAACATCCAAGGGTTAGGGCAGTAAGGCATAGGCTGAGGAGGGTAGTTCGGGAAGCCTTGTGGTGGGTAGTAACATTGAGGTGGAAATTGGTAGTAATACGGAGGTACTTGCTGGAACTGAGGTTGCTGAGGTGCAGGGGCTGGTGCTTTAGGTTCCTCTGGCTTGGGAATGGACTCGGTTGGTGGTACGTCGGACATTGTCTTGAAACAATAAAAGACTTGTCTTGAAAAAGTAAAAGACTTGTCTTGAAAAAGTAAAAGACTTGTCTTGAAAAAGTAAAAGACTTGTCTTGAAAAAGTAAAAGACTTGTCTTGAAAAAAGTAAAAGACTTGTCTTGAAAAAGTAAAAGACTTTGTCTTGAAAAGTAAAAGACTTGTCTTGAAAAAGTGAAAGACTCTTGAAAAAGTCTTGAAAAAGTACGGGTATCGTCTTCAATCAAGACCACTGTTCTCAAATTTGAGAACTTTACACCAAAAAATTTCTTGAAAAATAACGGGTCTTGTCTTGAAAAAGTAAAAGACTTGTCTTGAAAAGTAAAAGACTTGTTTGAAAAAGTAAAAGACTTGTCTTGAAAAAGTAAAAGACTTGTCTTGAAAAAGTAAAAGACTTGTCTTGAACAATAAAAAGACTTGTCTTGAAAAAGTAAAAGACTTGTCTTGAAACAATGACCGACATAGACCCAGCAGATGAGGCAATCTACCTTATAGAGATAAATGAGCTAGTTAGGAACTACCTGAGCCATCTGAAGTCAAACAGGACCATTGCAGGCTGGGTGTCTGGAAGAGGTGCGCTTAAAAATTGAAATTGACACGGAATTGTCCTGCAAATACCAGAAAACACTCCTGTAGCGACATAAAAGAGATGAAGAAAGAACCCTCTTGAAGTTCTTTGCAAAGCGTCCGTGGATTACAACTTCCAAACAGAGAGAACCCAACTGTACGAATTGCCCAAATTCTCAGAGGACTCTTACACTTCTCGGGTCAGGCGTTCTTCATAAACACAGAAGGCGACATCGTACCTTTACAGTAAACATCTATATGGCACGCTTTGAGTAAAAAACATTTTTTTCATTTTTTGAATGAAGCAAGTTAAATTCGTCCCACACCAATCTCAATGGACCGATGAAGAGTTTCAAGCCATGGTTGAAGGCGTTGAGAACGACATAGACGGCGAACTTGAAGGAGCTCAAACCACAATTGCAACCAAAATTGCACAAGTCAAGGAACAGATAGCTCCACTTAAAGCTACCAAAGCTACTCTTGACCTCATGGATAGTTACCGTTTAGATGTCAAGAGTGGAATAAACAATTAAAATTGAAACTTCTAAACTACGAAGCTATACTCCAAAAGTTAGCAGAAATGAGAAGACTTTACCAGAGCTACTTACATGTAAGGGACTTACCTTCAAGCAGTCCGACCAAAGATGAATTTTCTGACATTGTCCCAATTTTGTCCGAAAGTCAGCTCAGATGTTTTGAACTGCTCCCAACATATCCAGAATATGAACGTTTGCCTGAACTCTTCCGCAATCTCAAAAAACGTTTTTTTGGTTCTCATGTTCGAAACTTTTATCGGAAGAGACAACAAACGTTCAGAAGAAGAACAAGATATTATTTTAAACTTGTTGTATGACATAACTGTCATAACAAGCTTTTTGAAGTAAAACCGCCATTCTCAAACCACTTCATTTTTTCGATGTCCGAACAAGCACCGAAGCCGAACACAATGGCAGATGTCCTTTCAATGTTGCCAGACAAGCGCCCAGTTCAAATTCAAATTTTGAATTTGAAAGCTCATCTGACAAACACCGTTAAGACTCTCCAAAGTAGTCTTATGGAAGAGATGAAGGGACTTAAAGGTGAGTTCCTCATGAACCAAGCTTCCAATGAGAAAGTCCTGAACGATTTGACGGAAACCTTGCGCATTTACGCGAGAGAGAACCGAGACCTTGCCAGACTCATCTACCGTTTCTTCGAAGAGATAGATGCCATCTGGAAGGTACTCGGAAAGGACAGAACCTCCAACACCGTAATTCGTGAGTACCAAATTGAAGAAGTATTATCAAGAGAAGAGGAAGAAGAGGAAGAAGAGGAAGAAGAGAAGACAAAGAAGAGGAAGTTTGGGCAACCCTTGTTGCCGATGACACTTACGAAATTTCCCAACCCTACCCATACAAAATCCGCACAGGGAGACCGGCAAGGTTCTAACCCCAGTCCTCAACAACTTGGGACACTTGAACCTTAACCTTCGGAATCGCGGTTCAATCTCCATGGGCAAGCTTGTCGCAATTCAATGGGTTCCAAATCCAGACAAGAAGACGAGGGTCAGAACATTGACGGTGACAAGCTCAACAACCGTAAGGAGAACCTCGAGTGGTTCTAAGAGTAAAAAAATTTTATTTTAGGGGGAAACCCCGAGTAAATTTAGGTGTTTATTTAGTTAAGCGGCTTAAATTAATGAGAATTTGGACAAGTAGTTCCTGACCCCTGAATTGGACTCTTTCGTCATCCCAGTTGCGTAGGAGGTCGTCCCAGAGGAGTTGGTAGAATTGCCAATCCAAGGACGATTTGTCCTCCCAGGCATTGAGGATGTACTGCTCGTAGAGTCTCATGACCTCTGCCTTGCACCAGACACCCTCTCCCTTGGAACGTAAGGCTTCTTCGAAGTGCTCGAATGCGATTGGCTGCGGGACCATCCGAAATGACACTTTTTGTCCGTTTGGTCAATGTTCGTGTCTCGTGCCATAGTCGACGAAAATACAGACAAACAGGTTATATATGAGTTTGAGACCAAGAATTCCCCACATTTAAATTCAAATTCGAATAAAAATTTTTTTACTTCATGCAATGTTTTATTTCTGTGCCGTCTTCAAGTATACCCCAATACTTACGCTTGGAGAGGACATGAACTTCGGTGAAAATTTTGTCCAATTTGAATTGACCCATCTTTTCACCGACCATTCCCATTTCAATGAGTTTGTTGTACCCTTCTTCGTTCGTCATGAGTGCGTCAATGTTCTCATAGTAAACCACAACTTTCGATTTGACTTCGGAGAAGAATTTGTTGTAGTTGTCAAGGACTGCCTTTGCGAACTGAGGATAGGACCAATGTTCGACAATAGGTTTTACTGTGGTTACTAAGCCACCTTGACCTTGAGTAAATTCGTATTTCAAAACAAAAGGAGAAAACCTTTCAACAAAGTTGTCGACCTTCTCATAATGTTTACTCTTCATCTCTTGAGGTTTCTTAATGGAATATCCCCATGTCGAATTCATAAGCAATTTGAGTGTCATTGCAAGTTTGGGGTTTGAAGCTTTCCTAATATCATACAGTTGTTGTATGACTTTTCCAACTGTATAGTTCCTTCCTGGGAACTCACCATCTTCGTTTGGAATTCCAGTTGGAATATATTGGACAAACCTCATGTATGCAGCGTTAAGGTCGACATAGTATATCTTTTCGTTTGAGTCGAACTTGTCGCAACCAATTGGTCCAGTTTTTGGAAATTCAAGCGAGTCTCTTATCTTCTGAGAAACTTCTCCTGTTATCTCATAAACATCGTCAAAGCAACCTGTTTCATATAAAACCTTCTGACCTAACTCAGAAGCTCTCCAATACAATTTGACGTCGATTGGATTTCTCAATGGAAGTTTGTTTATAGCATCTTGAAGTTCTTGCAACCTCATTGGAAGTTCTTCTGGTTCAGGTTGGTATCCGAACAATCCAACTCCTTTTGGAGCTGTGTACTTCTTTTGTACTAGAACTTTGTCTGGAACAACTTTTGGTCTTGCTAACAGTGAAAAGTTTGTTTCGTCTTTTGGTACAAAAGTTTCTGTCAGCTTGTCATCTGGAATTGGTTCCAACAAACCTTTCTCGAAAAGAATGTTTACAGCTCTGACAATGTTGCACTTGCCTTTTCCGAACAATGGGTTTGTAAGACTTTCGTTCAACATGAAGTGGTTGTGGACAATTGCAATCTTCAACCATGGTAAATTGAACTCAACAACATAGTCGTCATGTGAAGAACCTTTAGCTGTAGGTATGTTGACTCGGATATTGACATTTGCCAACGGTGCAATTTTTGCCAATTGACCTCTGAGAATGTACCTTGTCTTCACACATGACTCAAGGTACTTCATCTTCTCTTCTGTAACAAGACCAGAGTTCCTGAGACATGTAAGAATGCAAGGTTCATTGACAATTGTTTCAATTGAATTGTAAATTCCATACCTTGTCAAGTCAATGTCAGACTTATTTATGAACGGGAAGTATCCAGCATGTTGTCTGACTGCTTGAGGGTTAGGTTGGTACCATTCGAACTTGACACTTGCAATTCCTTCAATTGCATTCAAAATGTCTGAGTCGGAGTCAACCATTTGTTCTCTCTTTGTAGTCTTGAAAGCGTCAAGAAGTTTTGCAGCTGTTTGTTCATTGCCATTTGCATAGTAAATGTGACCATCCAAATCTGTTATGGTCAATCTGAGATTGTATCCTTTCTTATTTCCGTCTTGTATGGCAGCAAGTACACCCATGAAGCCTTCTTTGTTCTTTCCTTCGTCAAAGTTTACTGTAAAGGTTCGACCAGATGTAATTTGACTTCTAACTTCACGATACTTTTCATATGCATATCTTGTTCTTTCCATGGGAGCATGTGCGTCTTCACCTTTTCCTTTTTTCCTTCTCAAAGGATGCAATTGTTCGTCATGTTTCCAGTAGAATCTGGCAAAGCCGTCGTGTCCTTCAACTTGTGGCTCAGTAACATTGAAAGGCATGTTCATAAGACGTTCTTCTTCTAACCTCTCTAGTCTGTTTGGATAATTGGCACGTGCTGTTTCCAAATCCATTTCGTAGCGAAGACCAGACAATTTGTCATAGACTTTTATGGGTCTTCCCTTCCTATATTTAAAATTCTTCGAAACTCTCCAACCATATCTTTGCAACTCTGCTTTTATTCTAGCAGATTTTCTATCCATTCTATATGGGGGCATTTTTATAAAAATAAAAAAATATTTTTTTGAAAAATGTTTTTTCCTTTACTTAACATAACCACCAGCTACCATAAGTCTTTGACGCCAACCCATACCAGCTAATGAAGGTTGACTTGGTTTAGTTTGGAAACTAAACTTTGGTTTTGGTTTATCTTCAGTTTTTGGCTCCCCTTCTTCTATCGGTCTTTCGTCACTTTTCGGTTCACCTGACTTTACTTCACTTGCTGGAACAGTTGTGTTGTCAACATCTTCGTAAATATCATATGCCATTTGTTTTTGTTTTCCTTTCAACTTTTTGTGTTTGTTGTAAAGTTTAGAATATTTCGACTCTAAGTCAATGAGATGTTCTATAATGAACTGTTGGTCAGTGAAGTAAACTTTTCCATCTGTTGTCTCGAAAGCTCCTTCAGACTTCAATATTTTATTTGTGAGAGTCTGTTTCTTTTTTGAGATACTAGCCGTTCCATTTCTATGAAAAGTGACTTTATAGTTAGGGTTTGTATTTCCAGACCTGGCACTTTCTATTATTGAATTTTTCTCTTCATCTGTAAGTTCTTTGACAGGTTTTGACAATGGTTCTGAACTTTTTGTTTGTGGTGTCAAATCTACCGTTTCAACTTCTTCGGTCATTTCATCTCAGTAAAAAATTTTAGTTTGGTTTGTTTTCAACTGGTTGTTGTTGTTTTTTAAGTCGGTCTAAAACTTCCTGAGGTATAGGAAGAACTTGACAAACACGTTGTGTAACTGCTGGAAGTCGACAAATCCATCTTGAACCCATTTGTCTCAATGCTGTATTGTTCATTTCATCTCAGTAAAAAAATTTACATTCCCCAAGTTTGAGGCGGTTGCGGTTGGTTGTTGTTTACCCACTGTTGTGCATGGTTATATCCTCTGTTAAAGAATCTTTCACCTTGGTCCATGTAGTGTCCTGCTTGGTTATAGTAGTCATTTGCTTTGTTATAGTAGTTTCCTGCTTGTCTTCCTACATTGTCCATCCATCCTTGAACTTTTCCTCTTGTTTCAGGATTTGGAATAAGATTTGCTGCATCTCGTGCTACATCCCAACCTTTCTGTACAGTTTGTATAATAGGTTGTGCTTTCTCTTTAAGTATACCTAATGTACTCAAAATCTTCCTTCCAATTCCAAATGCACCTCTGGCTATTGTTCCCACTGCGGGCAAAAATCTGGATGCAACTCCTGCTAATGCGCCAAATAAACCCATTTCTTATGGGGTAAAAATGACGAATCCAAACAAGGACCCGTATGTTTCTAAAGCAACAAAGAAAGCACTCATGGTAAAAATCTTTAGTTCAACACCAAATGCTTGGTTTATGGATATCTTGGAAAACATTCCGAGAGTTAGAACAGATGGACCTCCATACTGGCTAATATTTGTCGGTCAAAACACAAGATACTGTGAAGCCATACCATTACAGTCCAAAAATATTTTAGATGTGAAAACTGCTTTGACAATATTCGTTGACAAATACCATCCAACAAAACTGACATCTGACTGTGAACGTTCTTTCAAATCAGACGATATTAAAAACTATCTGCGTTCAAAAAATGTAAACCAATATTTCATTGTCGACCAAAACCATTCTGCTCTTGGTGTCATTGACAGTTGTATAAAAATCTTAAGAGACTTAAACCAACCACAAGGTGGTGAGGTAGATGAAATGTCATATGACGACAAGTACAGACATTTCTCCATGGCAAAGATGAGACAAGTTTTAAATATTTACAATAACCGTAAACAAAAAGGTTTGGGAAACCACTCCCCCGAAGAAATGAAAAACAACCCTGACTTAGAGAAAGACTATATATTTAACAATTTAGTCAAAAGAGACAAACAAGAAAGAATGCCGGGCTTCAAACTTCAGAAAGGTGACAAAGTAAAAATAGAAATACCTAAACGCGACCCATATGAAAATACTATTGACTATGACAACAATGGGAACTCGACAGGTACTCACGTTCGTGTTCGTAAAAATAGAAGAAAGTATACAAGAGAATATTATGAAGTTTTAGGCAAACATGGCAAAATGTACAGACTGCAAGCAGAAGATAAAACGACTATTGTCAGACCTCGTTTCAAACTTGTCAAAGTTCAAGGTGGTATACTTTCAAAGACAGTTCCTAACAAATATAAGACAACTCCTGACGAATATGCTAAAGAAGTTGAAAATGACGACTAAGCATTTCTATACCATGCACAAACTGTCATGTAAGGTGGCATGTATTTTTTACCTAGTCCTGTAGATGTTGTTGTAAAAGTATGTTGGTGGTTTCCTCCTGGTTCAGTTTGTCGAAAAGTCTTTTTTGCTGAATGGTTATAATCTGGAGATAAAACGTCATAGCCAGCTTCATACTCTGAGTTGTATAATGGGTGGTCTCTTAATGAGTGGCTATGGTCGCCAGAAAAGTTTGTTGTACCAGAATGACTATGTGGTGGCAAGTTGTCGACAGATATCGTTTTACTTCCACCTGTTTTCTTTGGAGTGTGTGCACAATACAAAAAACTTTCGAGTATTTGAGTCCAAGTTCCAAAACCAAGTACTACTTCTGGTCTGGTAGAGTTCATTGACGTATAAATAGAACCAACTGGGTAAATGGTTTGAAGTATTTCTGTCTTTAATGTTTGAAGCTCTGTTTTGTCTGCTTTCTTGTCATATAAATCTTGAGCAGTGAATTTAACTTTATTTTCATCCTCCATGACATAAACATCTCTACATCTAATGTATCTCATCGTTGTTATGTTTTTATCCGATGTTAAACCTTCTGGAAAGTTAGGAGGTTTCCAATCTAATACATCCCCACCAGTTTCTTCAACCGTTCCTGCAATATTTTCTATAGCAACAGTTGTAAAACTTGTATGTGTATGGTTCTTGTCAGCTTTGTCATCTAACTTTTCTTGTAAGTTTGCAATATTTGCAATGGTATGTGTATGTCCAACGTCACTTTTCCTGTTTAAGGTTTCTTGTAAGTTTGCAATATTTGCAATGGTATGTGTATGGTTCTTGTCGGCTTTAAGGTCTAAACACCCTGAAACCCATCCTGTATTGGCTTTACCTTTTAAAATCTTCGATGTCCGTTCATGGTACCATTCAACCCTTTCTTTAATTTCATTGTCTTTTTCATCCACATATTCCTTATCTGCCTTCTTCACTAACGCACTAGCCACACATGCTAACTCATCGTCAACATATGTTTTATCTGCTTTCTTTTCAACATCCTCTTTCGTTGCATAAGCTTTGTTAGCTCTTTCTTCTTCTTTTGCTATTGCATCGTCTACATACTCTTTGTCAGCTTTGTTGTCAACATCTGCTTTCAAAAGAAGTTCATCTATAGGTTTCTCGTTTAAGGTTCCTTTTGTTGGATTTATACAAACAGTATGGTTCTTGTTGTCTTGAAATAGAAACTCGTCTGTCATTGGGTTTAATGTCAGTTTTAAGTTTCCTTCTTTCAATGACTCAGATATCTTAGAATAGTTTGAAAAGTTTGTTGTGTTCTTATTTAGAGCTTGTATAATGAGTTGTCGGTTGTGTTGTATTTCTCTTATGGAAGCAATATCTTTCGACATTTTTATTCTAGATAAAATATGCTTTCAATAGAAAAAGAAAATTCAAGAGTTGCTACAACTAAACCATTAGATGAACTTTTACTAATGTCGGTCAAAAGTTTGAGACAGAGACCGTAAAGCATGAAGGCTATCGTTTTGACTACCCGTTAAGATGGTTAAGAGACCCATCCGTCACAAAAGCTATTGGCTTTCGTAGAATGAAGTTCATTTCAGAAGCCATACATGGTTTCCCATTTACGGTCGCTTTTGAGTTCGATACTATAACAAAGGAAAAACGTACGTATGAGAAATTTGAACAGGGATTTACAAGTGAATTTGCTTGTAAACTTAGAAACAACTCTTCAAGCTTTTCAAGAAAAATAAACGATATTATCTCGAATATGCAAAACAGTACAACATTGACGAAGGAGAGTACATCTCGATATTATTTATGACAGGAAAAATGCAACTGTTAAAATCAATAGAATAGAAGACCTTGGAGAAGACGTTTATATTTCTACAAAATATAACAACTTGGCATGGTATAGGTTTCTGAGGATGTTAAATCAGCCTGCAGAATATCCAGTACACCCGGACTTTTATGAAGTCGAAACCCTAATGGAACATATGAAAATGTTTTCGACTCAGATGCTATTATCGTTCATGCTTCATTTTTGGGCCCAAAACTCTTTTTTATGCTTGGCAATGACTTTTACGAAAAACTACAAAGCTATATGAAACCGAGTGGAAGTATTTCAGACTTTCAAGTATGGTTTACAACAGATGAAGAAAGAGAATAGTTCCATTATACCATGCGTTTACTTAGAACTTAGTCTCATATACAACTACTATCGAACGGTAAAAATATAATTTTAATACGGTTGAGGTGTTGGATTTGGTTGCCAACTAGACTGTGGTGCAGGTTCAGGCTGTTGTATAACAGGAGCTGTTCTTCTGGTTCAGGGTCTTTAGGTATAATACCAACAAACTGACCTACTTCTTTTACCAATATTTTTGACTCCGTTCCAAATTCCTCTTCCTACGGTTTTTTTTTCCATTCCATATACTCTTCCAACATTTCGAAAGAAGTTTCCTATTTACTGAAGAAATTTTACTATATGTAAAAATCTAATGTCCGCCTAGTCTCTTACGTTTCCTGTTGAGTTCCATAGCATTCTTTAAGGAGCTCATACATTCTGTTTCTCCTCTGGTAGAAAACATATTCTGGGTCAACTCCTGTGTTCGCGTCATCTGCATAAAGTTGTTTATATCCCACTTCAGGTTGTATAAAACTCTTTCCATCTCATATTTGCATACCATGGTGGCAAACCTAACGCAGCGTCATTTGACATGGCAGTTTGCATTTGTACATCTGTTGGCACTTGACCATAGTTTGCCATTGCAGTTTTGTATTCTAACTTCATTTGGAATATTCTCTGGGTTTGGTTGTCCAGGTTGCTGTGCATTCGCTAAGTTCTGTGCGTCCATTTAATATTAGATAAAAATATCTCTTACGAGTACATATGCTGAACATTTGCAGGCATTGGTTCATCTTCATATTCTCTGTACTTTTCTGCCACGTCAAAGAAATAAATGACACAATGGAAAAAACCTAAAACAAGTAGTCCTATTTCAAACCACATTTACTTACTAATAAAATTTCTTTATTGTGACACTTTCTCCAGTTTATAGGACCTCTCTCATATTCTATCTTGTCATATATAAACTCATAGTCATGTATGTCCTCTAACCATCTCATAACGGTTTCCAAACCACTTTTATCGGATGTAAAGTAAAAGCATGGATGGTTATGTATAACGTCTAAAGTTTCTAAAGAGTCTCTCAAAGTCCAGTCTACTTGGTATTGAAAATCCCATGTGTTATAGAACGGCGGGTCCACTATAAAGAAAACATTTTCCTTGTCTTTATATTTTTCATACAACTCTGTCCAATGACATCTCACAAACTCTATACCCTCAATATATTTTTCTATGTCCTCTTTGAAAACATTTGTATAGTTAAGATATAAAACTTTTGACATAAGTGTTTCAATGTCATGAACTCTTATAGAACCACTATATAATAGTCTAGCAGATATACTATCCCAGTCTATATATTCTGCTTTTTTCAAAACCTCTCTCACAATATTTTTCTTATCTAATGGTATACGTTCCATCTTACCTATCTGAATCTTTTCTTTTAACTCTTTCAATATTTTGTTTGTGTCTGGAATATGTTTGAGACGGTCCATATAGTTGTCGAAGTCATTGCATATAATCTTTGAGTCAGGAAATACAGTATGGCACAAATGAGATATATAGAAACTTCCACCGAACAAATCTACAAATGTTAGACCATTCGGTAGTTTCTTAAGTTCTCTCAATATAATATCTTTACATTTACTCTTATTTCCAAAGAACGGTAACGGTGGTTTTGTAAAATTCATTTATATATAATAATAAAAATGTTTTTTTCCTGAAAAGTGACAGAAAAGTGACGGGGGGCTAGAGGGCACGAAGTGCCTGGAAGCCCCACTACCTTTTTTTTTTTTTTTTTTTTTTTTATGTAACTTATAAAAACATCCAAATTTTCTCTTTAAATTTGGATTTAATTTTAAGAGAATTTTTCAAAGGTTTACTTCATCACAATTTTTAAAAAGATTTTAAATAAGAAGTTCTTATAATAAACATAATGGTTAAGAAATAAATTTACCCTTGTCAGACGATTATTTTATTTTTTCAGATAAATAATCGTATTCCTGGACTAGGGACTTCCACAGTAACTATTTTTACAATATATACTTTCTATTTCTGCAAGAAAATTTACCCTTTTCTATCAAATTTTCTAAATAATATTGAATTTAATTTTTGGTTTAGGGTGTGTTCGACCTTGACATACTAAAGTTTTAGAATTATATATCTAGTGATGTTCACATTCTAATAGAAAATAAACTTTGTTGATAATGAGCAAAGTAATATGATTTCTTCTTCATGTTTTGATGACTAAGGTAGTGTTCAATCCTTCAAACATGATTGGTGAAGCAAATACTATACTAATTCACACATAGACATATCTGAAATGTGATGTTATCTCTTCACTTCTTTTCAAATGATTTCATTTTCGGGCCTTCAACTCTCAAGGCTCCGAAATGGAATATATGTGTTTATTTCACTGATAATATTATGGCTATTTTCGCAATATTTCATCAAAAAAACTCAAAATTTGAACTTAAATTTCGAACCAAATCCAAATAAATATATTTTCGACTTCAATACTTCAAACAAATGCTTTGAACACATAGATTTTACACATTCCGATACAAATTTCCCAAATTGCTTTTCGCATACGAATAAAGAAGATTATTTTCATTGCCATATTAAATATGACCTTATCAATAAATCAAAATGTTATACATTAGTATTAGGATCTGCTTTTGTATTAGGAAAAGCTCTAGTAAATGAATTACAAAAAAATAACGAATCTGTTATCGAAATAAAGCAGCCACAACATATTAACTTACTTAGTCTATGGTTTTATGAAGCTCTAGATAGGATTCCAATCAAAAATATCTACCTTATTCAAGATGCTTTTACAGAGAACGAATTAGAGTATATAATAGCAAATTTGAATGAATATTACTTCAAATATCAAATAAGGATCGTTACTAATTCCAAAACTATGATGAAAAAGACACAAATTTATCAGATTCTATTTGATAAAAATTTAATTGGTGCTTATTACTATTCAGACCAGATATCGCAAGAATATGATAATTTGTACAAGTATACAATCGGAATTAGCCAAACAATCCCAAATTTCACAAATATTTCGGATAATTTTGTTTCCTCGATTTCTTTGGCCAAAGACATGATCTTCATGATGAACGATAAAAATTCCTATAGATCGGAAATTTCTCAGCTAAAACCTTTTCCTTTTTTAAATTTTCAAATCATTTTGAATAATTCACAGAAAATTCAACAAAAAAACAGGCAAGAAGTAGAGGAATTATATAAATGGATGAAAGAGAACCACAAAATGAGTAAGAAACCATACGCAGAAATAGTTAATTTTGTAGATCAAGATAATTCGACACAAATCCAACAACTTGAAAAATTATACAACTATTATAGCTATATGATTGACAAACTAGTTGATTTACCACTCCAGTTTGTTCTTTTCTATTGCTCTTCAAGTAATGAACGTTTATTAAGTTCAAAGTCTCTTAATATAAGCCACAATATCAGAAATCGCCTTAAGATATATAGTATTGATAATGTATCAATGCGTCAGCTAAATTTATGGAAAGTTTTCAAAGATAATCAATATCTCGTGAATTTAGCAGCATGGATGACAGATTGTGAGTATATTTTTTACTCAAATCTAGATTTCTATCCGTCATTTTCATTCTTTTATGCAATTGAAAGAAAATTATTGACTCCTTTTTCTATCTTTTTATTCCCTTCAACCACTGTATCAGAAATTGATCAGAAACAACTGAAAGAGTCAAAACATATAGAATCATCCATTTCTTTTCAAAATTCAACTAAAATTTTCACAATTGAGAATATGGTGAGAACTGGACTTAATGGAATGTTCGGATCCTCCAAAATATTATTAAGAGCAATTGATGGCTTTAAAGACAAGTTTACTTTTGTTATGTCAATTTATTCTCTCAAAGTTCCACCAATTATTAAGACTTTTGTAGGATCCCAAACTTTGTCCACTACATATGATATTCCGTTACCATATAAGAGCATTGAAATGCAAGAAAACTTGTGCAAAGGAGCTCATTTTAAAAAGAATAATAAAACACCTCATTATTTATGGGGACGGTCATATGAGTTCATTGATTCTACTAGAAAATCGGAAAGATACGGCCACATTGCTTTCAATGTGATAGAAACTACTAATAACACAAACACCATTGAAATATATACGTATTTCACTGATGAGATATGAAATAACTATCTTTTAGATATATAATATGTTTGTATTTATATTAAATATTTGTTTGCAATGCATGATAACAATTATTTCTTTTTTTATGGCATTTTTCAGTTCAAAAGGTAACATTTTATATCGATGAACTCAAAATCCATAATCAATCATATAATTATCATATTAATTCTTCATATTGAAAAATATTAAATTTCATTTTTCATTAGATATGTAAAATTATATGACATGCATTATCGATTAATATATCTGAAGGTTAGTTATCAATTACATTTGTAATAATTTGTTTGATATAAGGGTAAGCATTATATAGATGTTTATTTAGGAATAAGCCAATTTACTCCTGCTGTGGTTGCTCAGCCTGCTCACGGCGTGGGCCGCGGAAGCCACCGCGCTGTGGGCGATCGCCACGTGGGCCATTGCCGAAGCGGCGTGGGCCACGGCCTTGTGGGCGGTCACGGCGTGTTTCGAGGACCTTAGCCTCGGCTTCGCGGAGTGTAGCTGGGGCGGCGTTGGCTGGAAGGCCGAAATAGTTGCGGAGGTACTCAATGCCCTTGTCTGTAAGTGTGTAGTAAGCATGAGACCAGGCGTATGTCTTTATGCAGAAGCCCTTTGTAACGAAGGCGCGGCCGATCTGATATGGGTAGATGTTGAGGCAGTCGAGTTCCTCGTGTGTGCCGGACTGGATATCGGAAACGCAAAGGACACCGTTTTCGAAGAGGTAGCGAAGAATTCTCCTGCGGATCGCAGTTGGCATATACATGTTGCGAAAGGAAGACCATAGCCGCCCGATGGATTCAAATCCTTCGTTATCTTCGAAGAATAGAGAAATATTTTAGACATACTGTATATAATTTAATTATCACTTAATTAGACCATGAATCAGTTTACAACAAAATGAAAAAATATCAGTTGATTTCTAAATAAGTCGATATGATAGATGGAAGGCCAATAACTAATAAATTCATAATTTCATCTTGAATAAACCTTATCACTTTTCTTCCCTATCAATTTCAAAAATTGATTTTTATATATAGTATAATATCAATGAAATACCATTAAATAAGTTTTACACAATATATTAGTACTACCATATCTTTATATAGATTACTCTTTTAGGAAATATCCAAATTGAAGATTAAATATATAATAAATTCATTCCAGATCAGAACCTTGCCTCTTTTGCCCACTAGAAACTTATTTATCTATAAAGATGGCCTACAATAATGTAGTCTAAGCGATATCAAAATTGAAAAGAATTTTTTTTGTCACTTTCATTTCAATTTTTTTACAATGAGCTTTTTTTGGACAAAATCAGCGCGAAGCCTGAACAATATTCATCAAGAAGTTAAAGAAACATGCACATGGCGAGAGTTTCAAAAAGCAAATCTCAAAAAACAACAATTTATTACTTTAGAAAAGATTATCAAATTACAAGAGAATATGTGCTTAAATTATATTCAAAAATGCCAAGAAGCAGCAGATTTAGATACGTCACTAAAGCAATTTTATTATACTAACAAAGATCTTAGTATTCGAACCGATTTTGCATCCTTAGGAATCGACAAACAAGTTCTCGATGAATTCATTATGCATCTATCAAAAAATTTAAGTACATTTGCGTCGACAGTTCAATACGACAAATTTGTTTCAGGATTGGCTCTAAAATTCATTCCTTTTGACTTCAATCCATTGCATTATGCATTATTTTCTGCTCTTCCATCATTATTCGGATACTGCTGGTCTTCTGAATTGGCAGAATCATACATTGACTTTTTATTTAATTCTGCCTTTACGAATCGCACGTTTTCATTGCTCCATCTTACTTTATCACTTTCAAATTTCATAAGAGTATCCATCGGACCAGTATTTTTCAAGAAAACAATGGGAAATGAACTTTTGGATTTAATATTGCCATTAAAAGTTACAGATCAAGACATACAAAATGCTGCGCTGACTATAACTAACAACATGTTACAAAATATTACGTTAATTCCTCGTCACGTTCGTAGAATAATCAGAAGATTTTTTAACATTGATGAAAACAAACTTATGACAGCAGAAAGTTTCGTTTGTGAATGTTTGGTTAACGCTGCAATCAAAAATCCAAAAGAATACGGAATTGTTGATTTTTCTATTTATTTAAGTCAGAATATCTTCACTAGGCTTAATAATTTATGTCACACATTCCAATTTGCTGCTTCTGGTGATTCTATTTCTGATTTACATAGTGCTTTTGTTGATTTTGTTTCCGAATGTGAGAATGTTGATGAAATTCCAGACTTACCGTTAGTCTCGCACATCCTACCATTGCTTAAGATGTCAGATTTCCCCATGGTTCAATCACTTACCGATGCAGTTACCCTTGCATACTTAGTTTTGAACAGCGACTGCCATCCAAAGCTGAAACAGCTCGCTGAAATAATATTTGAGAACAAGAAGTACCCGTTCTGCTTTTTCCAAGTTGTTTTGAAGGACTTATCTCAATTTCAGATCACAACAAGCGACGCAAACAACATGGATACAGATAATTCCAGCCAAACTACAAAGACTATCTTTAATTTCTTTGAGCAAGCCCCTGTTTGCGAAACTGCTCCGAATAATTTTATCGAATTTCTCAATTTCCATCGAAGAAAAGCAGATCTTGAGCATAAAGAAGACCACCAGATTATTCTACAGCGAATATTATCCCTTCTTCCTAAACAAGGAAGCAGAGAATGGGCAGATATAATTCCTTCTCTCGAAGATGAGCTCGAAAGACAGAAACTATATGCTACATTGGAAGAAGAATCACTCTCTAAGTTATCTTTACTAGGAACAAGCATTGATTCAATGATAAAAAGACTGAAATCGATTTCTTCCAATCCACACAATGCGTTTTACTACAATTTGTTTGAAGAATTTTTGGATGCGAACCAAGATATCAAAGGAAACTTCGAAAGTAGATCAATCGAATACTTTCAATCACTTTCGAAATTTTATTCAGTTTTCGAATCGTACTGTAGCAGGATTAGAGCGGTTATAGCAGATGATGAAGCATATACCAATGTTCTTATCTGTTTTCATACGTATATTATGACTTATCTCCCAATTGACATGTACATTGCATTTAATCCACAGTTTAAGAAGAATGATGACTTCTTATCACATCCACCAGAGAAAATGGTGCAAGAATTGTGCATTGCTCCTTCAGCTGAAAAAGTCAGAAAATTATTTGATAATACAGAGATATTTAGCTTGGCAATTGCCGAAATTTCAGAAGCAAGGATCATTCCTATCCCAGTTATAGCTCTTGGGCATTTAAATGAAGCAATTTATATTTTGAATACGCTTTTCTTCATGGAATACGGCTCAGGAGCTCAGGCAGATGAACTTACACCAATTATAGTCTATCTGATCCTCAAGTGCAGAATTCCAAACATGTATTCGTTTGTTATGTACTTGAAAGACTTTTTACTCAACCTTTGCACGAAACAGTTCATGATAATCAAAGAGAGCAACATTGTTGGACTTACTCATATTATTAACCATGTTACTTCAATATTTGAAGCAATTCCGGATATACAAGAGAAAAAGATTAAATAAAATTGTTTGTATTGAATAAATTACAGTCTTATTGCAAATGATTAACTATAGTTACTACATTTATAATACGCATATAGAAAGGATTAATTTCAACATTAGAAATCCCGCCATTGGACATAACTTATAGTTCTAAATGCATTTATGCAGCATAAAATACAATAATATCGAACATCTTAGGCAGACTAGAAGTGCCGCCACGCCCAAACTTTGATATCATTGTCTCAGACTTTACTATGAAAATCTAGTCCTATAGGTGACAGTAAAAGTCTACCCAATGATCGCCTTGTTTGCTTCACCCCAAAATAATATTTGCGATTTCACCGACAAAAGATAAAATACCAAATATGACGAATGAAGAAGTACTACTAGCATAACCTAATTATTGATAACAGTTTGAATTTCCTATTTATTCAAAATTGGTAAAATTACGATATCAAATAAGATCGATTAAGTGATATAGTATACTTGAATTATGATAACTATGTTTCATATCCATAGTAGATTACCATCACTGACTATTTTTTGATAGGATCAAAATTTTCAAATAATGAAAAATGAATATTTATATTCTAACTTATATAGCATGCTGATTTGCTTTTTATGCCATCAAAAGATTCATATCTATTATAGCCTACTCATTTAATAAAAATAATTTTTGAAATTTTAAGTTTCTATAATTTACTGCTTCAATATAGCTCAGTAATGAGCACTATTGATACAGCTATTAAGCTTTTCATATTATGCAATTGTTAATGAATAACAAATAATGAATATAGCATGAATTAAGCTTAATAAAGATCATATAATGTGAATTACGATATTAGTATCTATATTACGATGGCCAATGTGAAAGATAACAGTATTTTTTAAAATATCTTTGAAAACTCCGTAAAACTCTCGTATTATGGTATTTATTGAATGTACGAAGTTAATGTCTAATTGACAATACTATAGTCATATTGATTAGATAAAAATATAGGAAATCTTTTGCAATGAGCATTTTTGTAGTAAAATATATTGCTTTTACAAAATAATATTCATGGATTCTTACTTACAAACTCAAATAAAGGATGATTATATAGAAAAATAAAAATTTGTTAGTAATCAAACAAAATATTAATAGTAGTGCTTCAAAGAAATTCAATGAAATCTAACGTGTCCATATTGAATTATTTCGGCCTCTCTTTATGAAATTCGTTTATAACATATTATCAGGATGCTAAAAAAGTGCGTGTGTCAAATATTTAAGGTTCTTTTTTGAGAACAACCGCTAAATAACTATGATATATAACAAAACTATTTCCCATATCTTTTGAGCAAAAAACTAAAAATTGAGAGTGGTAGCACTTCTGACAGACTCTCAAAATTTTCAATGTTATTTTAAATTGAATTAGACTATTGTTGAGACTCCGATGCTTATAAAAGAATGCATATGTTATTAATAACAAAATTTGTATAAATGTCATTCCAAAAAAAATTTAAATGCCTTTTTTTTGTAGAGATGCGAGTTTCCGAATTTTTTTAGCCCTGGGATGTCATAACCGCTGCGGTTTTGTAAAATTTGGGATAAATTTTGACAATCCATTTTTTGTGGGATGTACGTTTATATCAATTTGCTCGGCGTTTGCCGAGCTATTGTACAATCCTACTCGAATTCATTACGCAGCCCTGGTCACTCAAAGGCCAGGGCATACAATTACAAAATAGTAGAGTGAGACTCTTCTAATTTCTTCCAATCACAAGAAAGATCTTAGAAGAGCCTCACTCTACTCGAACACATTACGCAGCCCTGGTCACTCAAAGGCCAGGGCATACAATTACAAAATAGTAGAGTGAGACTCTTCTAATTTCTTCCAATCACAAGGAAGATCTTAGAAGAGCCTCACTCTACTCGAACACATTACGCAGCTCCTGCTCAACAATGAGCAGGTCTTACCACTTTGAGAGGCTTTCGTTCGAGTTCTGATGCAGATCCCAACGCGAGCGAGAGTCTCTCAAGCAAGCTTCTAATTCGTAGCTAGAGTTTCACTCTTATGAACTGGCAGCCAATTTGAGAGACTTTCGCTCGAGATCTAATGAAAAATCAGAACTCGGCCAAAAATTGCCCAAACAGGCTTGTAATTCGTAGCTATAGTATTGATCGTATGGATGTGTTGCCAATATGAGAGACTTTCGCTCGATGTCTGATATTGCATCAGACATCGAGCGAAAGTCACTCAAAACAGCTTAGACATGTCTATTTTGACGGCATTAAATGATTTCATAGGAAATGTCTCAGTTGTTAATTAAGTTCACGTGAGCTTTTATGAATGAAAATAAGTAAAAAAAAAGAATTTTCTCAAAAAAAATTGTGTACGCATTGAAATTTTTATCTATAAATTTAGATATGTCATCAATAATATAATTTTAAATTCGTGGAGTACACTTGGGATAATTGAATATGGGCTACCCCATCCCAACCTCTCAAACTTCCTCTGAATTTGGACAAGGTATCCCAATCCCAAAGACCTATCTGAATAAAATGAAATAAGTATATTATATATATTATTTATTTGCTAATAATGAGCATAAATCGCTAAAATTATGAAGAAATTAAAAATTAAAAATTAAAATTAGAAAAAAATGTTGATTTAATGAGAGAATATTGTATAAAAATAGAATTATTAGCTAAAATATGTATTAATTTTATGATATTTCAATCACATTAACGAAAATCGCCCATTTTTAATTCAAATGGGCGGGAAAAAAATAAAATTCCAAAAAAAAAATTGAATTGGGGAAACGATAGGGGACGGGATATGAGAAACCCCATATGTTTGGGAATTTTTCGCATCACTATTTTTTGGGATATCTCTCTCGGCCAATCGTCTTCGTTCTTCCATTAACGTTTCATAAGGGAGTTCTTATTGTTGCATTTATGCTTTCTATTACCGGAAAATTTATGTTAAGCACTTTCATTCCAATATTTCATGCTTCTATACTGAAAAATAACTTCATTAAAATTCCAACAGACGGAACTATAAGAGACCATTTTGGTTATCCAGGAAGGTTCAATGTCATGAACTCTTATAGAACCACTATATAATAGTCTAGCAGATATACTATCCAGTCTATATATTCTGCTTTTCAAAACCTCTCTCACAATATTTTTCTTATCTAATGGGATTACGTTCCATCTTACCTATATGAATCTTTTCTTTTAACTCTTCAATATTTTGTTTGTGTCTGGAATATGTTTGAGACGGTTCCATATAGTTGTCGAAGTCATTGCATATAATCTTTGAGTCGGAAATACAGTATGGCACAAATGAGATATATAGAAACTTCCACCGAACAAATCTACAAATGTTAGACCATTCGGTAGTTTCTTAAGTTCTCTCAATATAATATCTTTACATTTACTCTTATTTCCAAAGAACGGTAACGGTGGTTTTGTAAAATTCATTTATATATAATAATAAAAATGTTTTTTCCTGAAAAGTGACAGAAAGTGACGGGGGGCAGAGGGCACGAAGTGCCTGGAAGCCCCACTACCTTTTTTTTTTTTTTTTTTTTTTTTATGTAACTATAAAACATCCAAATTTTCTCTTTAAATTTGGATTTAATTTTAAGAGAATTTTTCAAAGGTTTACTTCATCACAATTTTTAAAAAGATTTTAAATAAGAAGTTCTTATAATAAACTAAATGGTTAAGAAATAAATTTACCCTTGTCAGACGATTATTTTATTTTTTCAGATAAATAATCGTATTCCGGACTAGGGACTTCCACAGTAACTATTTTTACAAATATACTTTTCTATTCTGCAAGAAAATTTACCCTTTTCTATCAAATTTTCTAAATAATATTGAATTTAATTTTTGGTTTAGGGTGTGTTCGACCTTGACATACTAAAGTTTTAGAATTATATATCTAGTGATTCACATTCTAATAGAAAATAAACTTTGTTGATAATGAGCAAAGTAATAGATTTCTTCTTCAGTTTTTGATGACTAAGGTAGTGTTCAATCCTTCAAACATGATTGGTGAAGCAAATACTATACTAATTCACACATAGACATATCTGAAATGTGATTATCTCTTCACTTCTTTTCAAATGATTTCATTTCGGGCTTCAACTCTCAAGGCTCCGAAATGGAATATATGTGTTTATTTCACTGATAATATTATGGCATTTTTCGCAATATTTCATCAAAAAAACTCAAAATTTGAACTTAAATTTCGAACCAAATCCAAATAAATATATTTTCGACTTCAATACTTCAAACAAATGCTTTGAACACATAGATTTTACACATTCCGATACAAATTTCCCAAATGCTTTTCGCATACGAATAAAGAAGATTATTTTCATTGCCATATTAAATATGACCTTACAATAAATCAAAATGTTATACATTAGTATTAGGATCTGCTTTTGTATTAGGAAAAGCTCTAGTAAATGAATTACAAAAAAATAACGAATCTGTTATCAAATAAAGCAGCCACAACATATTAACTTACTTAGTCTATGGTTTTATGAAGCTCTAGATAGGATTCCAATCAAAAATATCTACCTTATTCAAGATGCTTTTACAGAGAACGAATTAGAGTATATAATAGCAATTTGAATGAATATTACTTCAAATATCAAATAAGGATCGTTACTAATTCCAAAACATGATGAAAAAGACACAAATTTATCAGATTCTATTTGATAAAAATTTAATTGGTGCTATTACTATTCAGACCAGATATCGCAAGAATATGATAATTTGTACAAGTATACAATCGGAATTAGCCAAACAATCCCAAATTTCACAAATATTTCGGATAATTTTGTTTCCTCGATTTCTTTGGCCAAAGACATGATCTTCATGATGAACGATAAAAATTCCTATAGATCGGAAATTTCTCAGCTAAAACCTTTTCCTTTTTTAAATTTTCAAATCATTTTGAATAATTCACAGAAAATTCAACAAAAAAACAGGCAAGAAGTAGAGGAATTATATAAATGGATGAAAGAGAACCACAAAATGAGTAAGAAACCATACGCAGAAATAGTTAATTTTGTAGATCAAGATAATTCGACACAAATCCAACAACTTGAAAAATTATACAACTATTATAGCTATATGATTGACAAACTAGTTGATTTACCACTCCAGTTTGTTCTTTTCTATTGCTCTTCAAGTAATGAACGTTTATAAGTTCAAAGTTCTTTATATAAGCCACAATATCAGAAATCGCTTAAGATATATAGTATTGATAATGTATCAATGCGTCAGCTAAATTTATGGAAAGTTTTCAAAGAAATCAATATCTCGTGAATTTAGCAGCATGGATGACAGATTGTGAGTATATTTTTTACTCAAATCTAGATTTCTATCCGTCATTTTCATTCTTTTATGCAATTGAAAGAAAATTATTGACTCCTTTTTCTATCTTTTTATTCCCTTCAACCACTGTATCAGAAATTGATCAGAAACAACTGAAAGAGTCAAAACATATAGAATCATCCATTTCTTTTCAAAATTCAACTAAAATTTTCACAATTGAGAATATGGTGAGAACTGGACTTAATGGAATGTTCGGATCCTCCAAAATATTATTAAGAGCAATTGATGGCTTTAAAGACAAGTTTACTTTTGTTATGTCAATTTATTCTCTCAAAGTTCCACCAATTATTAAGACTTTTGTAGGATCCCAAACTTTGTCCACTACATATGATATTCCGTACCATATAAGAGCATTGAAATGCAAGAAAACTTGTGCAAAGGAGCTCATTTTAAAAAGAATAATAAAACACCTCATTATTTATGGGGACGGTCATATGAGTTCATTGATTCTACTAGAAAATCGGAAAGATACGGCCACATTGCTTTCAATGTGATAGAAACTACTAATAACACAAACACCATTAAATATATACGTATTTCACTGATGAGATATGAAATAACTATCTTTTAGATAATAAATATGTTTGTATTTATATTAAATATTTGTTTGCAATGCATGATAACAATTATTTCTTTTTTTATGGCATTTTTCAGTTCAAAAGTAACATTTTATATCGATGAACTCAAAATCCATAATCAATCATATAATTATCATATTAATTCTTCATATTGAAAAATAATTAAATTTCATTTTTCATTAGATATGTAAAATTATATGACATGCATTATCGATTAATATATCTGAAGGTTAGTTATCAATTACATTGTAATAATTTGTTTGATATAAGGGTAAGCATTATATATATGTTTTATTAGGAATAAGCCAATTTACTCCTGCTGTGGTTGCTCAGCCTGCTCACGGCGTGGGCCGCGGAAGCCACCGCGCTGTGGGCGATCGCCACGTGGGCCATTGCCGAAGCGGCGTGGGGCCACGGCCTTGTGGGCGGTCACGGCGTGTTTCGAGGACCTTAGCCTCGGCTTCGCGGAGTGTAGCTGGCGGCGTTGGCTGGAAGGCCGAAATAGTTGCGGAGGACTCAATGCCCTTGTCTGTAAGTGTGTAGTAAGCATGAGACCAGGCGTATGTCTTTATGCAGAAGCCCTTTGTAACGAAGGCGCGGCCGATCTGTATGGGTAGATGTTGAGGCAGTCGAGTTCCTCGTGTGTGCCGGACTGGATATCGGAAACGCAAAGGACACCGTTTTCGAAGAGGTAGCGAAGAATTCTCCTGCGGATCGCAGTTGGCATATACATGTTGCGAAAGGAAGACCATAGCCGCCCGATGGATTCAAATCCTTCGTTATCTTCGAAGAATAGAGAAATATTTTAGACATACTGTATATAATTTAATTATCACTAATTAGACCTGAATCAGTTTACAACAAAATGAAAAAAATATCAGTTGATTTCTAAATAAGTCGATATATAGATGGAAGGCCAATAACTAATAAATTCATAATTTCATCTTGAATAAACCTTATCACTTTTCCCCTACAATTTCAAAAATTGATTTTATATATTAGTATAATATCAATGAAATACCATTAAATAAGTTTTACACAATATATTAGTACTACCATATCTTTATATAGATTACTCTTTTAGGAAATATCCAAATTGAAGATTAAATATATAATAAATTCATTCCAGATCAGAACCTTGCCTCTTTTGCCCACTAGAAACTTATTTATCTATAAAGATGGCCTACAATAATGTAGTCTAAGCGATATCAAAATTGAAAGAATTTTTTTTGTCACTTTCATTTCAATTTTTTTACAATGAGCTTTTTTTGGACAAAATCAGCGCGAAGCCTGAACAATATTCATCAAGAAGTTAAAGAAACATGCACATGGCGAGAGTTCAAAAAGCAAATCTCAAAAAACAACAATTTATTACTTTAGAAAAGATTATCAAATTACAAGAGAATATGTGCTTAAATTATATTCAAAAATGCCAAGAGCAGCAGATTTAGATACGTCACTAAAGCAATTTTATTATACTAACAAAGATCTTAGTATTCGAACCGATTTTGCATCCTTAGGAATCGACAAACAAGTTCTCGATGAATTCATTATGCATCTATCAAAAAATTTAAGTACATTTGCGTCGACAGTTCAATACGACAAATTTGTTTCAGGATTGGCTCTAAAATTCATTCCTTTGACTTCAATCCATTGCATTATGCATTATTTTCTGCTCTTCCATCATATTCGGATACTGCTGGTCTTCTGAATTGGCAGAATCATACATTGACTTTTTATTTAATTCTGCCTTTACGAATCGCACGTTTTCATTGCTCCATCTTACTTTATCACTTTCAAATTTCATAAGAGTATCCATCGGACCAGTATTTTTCAAGAAAACAATGGGAAATGAACTTTTGGATTTAATATTGCCATTAAAAGTTACAGATCAAGACATATAAAAATGCTGCGCTGACTATAACTAAAAACAGTTACAAAATATTACGTTAATTCCTCGTCACGTTCGTAGAATAATCAGAAGATTTTTTAACATTGATGAAAACAAACTTATGACAGCAGAAAGTTTCGTTTGTGAATGTTTGGTTAACGCTGCAATCAAAAATCCAAAAGAATACGGAATTTTTGATTTCTATTTATTTAAGTCAGAATACT